AGCTCTGAAACAGAGACGCCATCAAAATCCTGCTTCAACAAATTACATCTGTCAGTGTGGCTTTGTCGCCTGCAACCAGGCTGGGCTAGTATTGCACTTAAGATAGCACAAATGAAATACGTTTTTCCTTTTCCTGATTTTCTCCACAATAGCCTCTGCTAGCATGCATAAGGATTAAACGAAAGGCATCATCCACTGCTAACCCTCATTTAACGTTCACGATAGGAAAGACATTATATATATATATATATATATATATATATATATATATATATCACCATCAATAAAATGATATATTGTGTAGAAAACATAATAAATATATTTCGTTAATTATTAAAATAAAATGGCACAAACTTGTCGGCAATTCCATGGAAGCGCACATAATACTTAAAAATAAAAACTGATATATTTGATATTTATTAAAATTAAATGAATGTAAAAGGTTAATCCGAAATGTCGTAAATACTTTTTCCCATACTTACTTTTACGCCGCCCACTCCTCACACACAAACACAGACAAATAAATAAATTAGATTTTAGTGGTTTTATTAATAAAAATTGTTTCGTGTGAGTTCCTCTTTAGCCAGATTACCTTGAAAATCCGTTTGAAACGTTTGATAGGTTGTTCCTGGCTCTTTAGGATTTATTTTATTTATTCCCGCTCTACTTAGCGTATTGAGCACTCTATGTTTTAGGTTTGTTAGTCGCTTGGGATTTTTTCTTTGGACTAAAAACTTAAGCCACTGACCGATTTGTTTCGCCTTCTTCCGATGTTTCAAGTTCTTTATTCTTTTTTTTTTTTTACAATTTTTTCCGAGGGTACCAATTTGTTTTGGTATAGTTACAAGTTGTGCTATCCGACGTTTTTTACTAACCGAGTATTACTATTAGTATATATATATATATTGAGAGAAAGAGAAAGTGGGGAAAAGCTATGCATGTATGGAAGTTGATAAGTTGATACAATGACTCAACGTTTGAGCATTTCAAAAATCGTGCTGGCCAAAAATTTCAACAATAAAACAAGATGGATTACCCATAAATTCGTTCTTTCTTTTTTATTTATTTCTAAATTATTTTTCATCATTTTGTTGACGCGGTAAGTGAAGCAATTAACCGTTTGCCTCACACGCTTTCTTTCAGAATATTTAGAGAATCTGTCTATGAGAGACGATCATAAACATGTCACGGCTACAAAAGACAGTAAAAACAGAGGCTTATTAGGATAATGTCGAGGCCGTGACAGATTTCTAGCAACAGGACCGTGGTCTACGAAAGACCAGACTGTTAATTCCTTACCTGTCAATTTAGTTGGCCCAGTGACGTCATTTTACTGATCTATATTGGGACACTTTCAGTTGATCTATTCTTTGACCGTCAAATGAGACGATATCAAAACAGATATTCGAATTCGCAACCACAAGAATTAAAACAATACTAATTTCTCAAGTGATGTAAGTTATTTAATCTGCAATATATGTCATACAGTAGCCCCAGAAAAGTTTTTTAACCAAGAGAATGAACTGCATCCAATTTCAAATTTAATTACGTAATCCCTATTCAGCATAAACAAACAATATTTGCAACTACAGGGTGTTACAGCAGAATCCGACACTTGACACAAAGAAAACGAAATAGGCAATAAAAACAAAAGTTGTATATGCAGAGACCCGACTGTTTATTTAGCAGCAGTTAGAGTTACATACTACATTATTTTTCAATGTAACAGCCGCCAGCGGCGACGGCCATCTCAAGGCGGGCGCGAAATGAGTCACACGCGTTGGTGACCATGTCCATAGCGGCGTGTTGTGGGCGTGCTTGTTGGTCTTGGCCTCGATCACGCCCCAGAAGAAATAGTCAAGGGGGTTGCAGTCAAGTGAGGAAGGCGGCCATAAGTCCGGCGACCAGTGGTGAGGAACATTGTTGAGCAGCCACGCCTGGGTCGTTTTGGCCTTGTGTGCAGCGAGAGGTACGTCATGCCTCCGTTCGTCTTTCAAAAGGGCCTGAGATTCAACGCTAAGATCTACCAAGAAGTGCTGAGGAGCGTGGTGAAGCCCTAAATGGACAAGATCGCCACCGGACGCCCCTACGTCTTCCAGCATGACTCGGCTCCCGCACACAAAGCCAAGACGACCCAGGCGTGGTTGCTCAACAATGTTTCTCGGCACCTTGGTCGCTGGATTGTGGACGCCCTCCTCACCTGACTACAACCGCCTTGACTATTTCTTCTTGGGCGTGATCGACGCCAAGACCAACAAGCACGCTCACAACATGGTTGACTCTCTGAAGGCTGCCATCCTGGAGGCGTTCGTCTCTATTGACGAGGACATGGTCGCCAAAGCGCGTGACTCATTTCGCGCCCGCCTTGATATGGCTGTCGCCACTAACGGCGGTTACATTGAAAAATAATGTAGTATGTAGCTCTAACTGTTGCTAGATAAATTCTCGTGTGTCTTCATATACAACTTTTGTTTTTATTGCCTATTTCATTTTCTTTTTG